TATAGAAAAAAGGAATAAAATGGAGAAGAAAAGATAGATTTTATATATTTTCTCTCTTATACAAACATCACAGGGGAGCGCTTTACATTCTACGATTGCTCCATTTGCTCCGATTGCTCCGATCGCTTTGTTTGCTCCGAACATAATTTTGACGGCTTCCCTTAGTTAGATCAAGTTATTGAGCAAAATTGAGTGCTATTATACAATTTTTACTTGTAGATAGAAAACAATTCATTGAAATAAATTCACCGATTTCTGATTTTGTTAAACTCAATTCATCGCTACCGATCTCTTGGCTAGGATAACCTTTAATTATTGAAATAATTATTTGTTGTTCGGATGAAACGTTCATTTTCTTTTTCAAGTTATTTAGCAGTGTTCGCCATATTGCTCAGCCTTTTTGAATGCTCTTTTACGTAGTGAAGATTTTGATATGATCTTAGTACCCAATTATAAAGAGTTAAAGGGCAGTTTACAAAATATAAAAAAAATTTATTTTTGTTAAACACTCAGGACATACCTTCATGCTAGAATTGCATGAGCCTTTCTTAACGCCAACATGATTACACGAGTAGTATGATGAAAAGATCGTTTATTTGAAACCTTCAGAATTAGCAATAGATCCGGTGTATGCCATCATTCAAAAGAACTTTAGACCTTCTCATTGGTTTTCCAACTTCTCAACCCAACAATCTTCTCTCCGAGTTCTGTTAGTTGTGGTTCTGGAATTGCAGCAAGTTGTTCATCGGCTTTCGAGTTTAATGTACGCATATGAACAGCATCAATTCGATTTGTCAATTTATACTTGTCATCTTCTTTCGCAGATTCAAATGCAATGTATTGAACAATTCGAAATCGATCGCTCTGATTTGGGAAATTTCCTAAATGAAATTTGTGACAAGAAAGAGCTAATGGGCTTCAACAAAGAAACATGTAAAATATACCGTGAGGTAATCGTGAGTCCCATATGACGAAAGAACCCCTTCGAACATGAATCTGCTTGATTTCCTTTCGTATGGGATCATCTTCCGGAACATTCACAAGCCCCCCCCGGGACTTATGCCTCTCTTCATTATCGATCGACCACTGTTTGAAACGATGAGTGAATCCCGGAACACAGTGGAATCCTAGTTACGATATGAAGACAAGAATGAATGAAGAAGTTGGTTATTTCCGAACACAGAACATACCGCCGGTATTTGGATTTGTGTCACTCAATGCTAGAAAACCTTGTACGCCAACGAAGTCTGGATATTTCCAAGGATTCTTTGAGAATGAAGAGAGCGGTTGTTGTTGCAAAAGAACATCTATAGAAGTGTAAGAATATTTATTTATATTTACCTGATCCCAATGTAGCCTGTAAGAGAAATAGAAGTTAGAAGTCTTCTACTGAAGCTTGGAAAAAGAGCACCTCAAAACTTCAAATGAAATTAGAAACAACTGCTGATGGGAAAGCTTTAACCATTTTTCTGGTATGGCACCGCAAACAAAATTGTTCCCCCAATTTTTTCTCGATCTGCTGCAAGTCTCGGAGTGAGAGTTTTTGTTAAGCACTCAGGACATGTCGTCATGCTAAGTGGACAGAATCTTTATTCCACTATCATTTCAAATTTTTTATAGATGTTGCTCCATAGCAATCTTCTCCATAGCGTCTAACAAATAGAAACTTGTTCTAAGTTCCATACTATAATTCAAAATAGAATTGGAATCGCATCATGTTCCAGTATTTGTAACTTCGTCATCCCATATCTTTCACTCATTCTTACCAATTAGATTTTGACCGCCATTCCGGTTTATCTACAAGTATCACGGATCCATCGTCATTGTTCTGTTTGAAAGCAATGCCTTTCGTTGGTCTCATCATTCCATAACGATCAAATTTAACCCAAAGATCATCTCGTTTAAGAAGAATTTGGAACAATCGAACAATATTGGGGTGTTGTCTGTTTTCCCAACACATTTTGGTTGCTACGTCGGACATGTGTGATATGAAACCACCTTAAGATAAAAATTTAATCTAATATTTCCAACATTTCAGTTCTCGCACTCACCGTCTTTGAGACCCATCTGAATGGGCCAGTACTTGTCATCCCACGTTGAACTATCATTTTTGTCAATTTTCGGATTAAGAACTCGAAGTAAGCTCCAAATTTCATCAATCGTCTCTTCTATTTGCGATTCAGAGTCTATGACGTTTCGCACAACGACAAATCCATGCTCTTCGAAGAATGCTAGAAGAGCAGTTATTTCTTCAACAGAAAATGACTCGGTGTAGCCCTCAGAATCTGGGAAAGCTGTGATACACGCCACGTTTTTGTCATTCGAAGTCGACATTTCGAAATAAGACAATCGTTGAGCTTTTATTTGAGATAGAAAGGCACCTCACTGTAGACGCCACGTATGCAGGTATCGTTGTGCAATAATGTTAGTCATTAAGTCAATAAACGAAAAAGAGTACACGTGCCCAACAGATAAGCATTGCTCTTTTGCTTTTCAAGGTAATTCGATGTGGTTTTTAATAGAGCCGTATCAAATAAGGAATATCTTTATCTTTTCACATCTTGGCAAATGTTAGCACATGTCCATATAGACATTTCCTAACATATAGGCATTTGCTAACATTTGCCAAGATGTGAAAAGATAGAGATATTCCTTATTTGATACGGCTCTAATATTATTCGATTCAGCAGACGTCGCTGCAGTCAATAATATAGAAAATCGAAAAGCCATGAGATAATTAGTTTAAAATGAGGAATTCGTTTGCAGTTTTGAAAAAACCACTCTAATTAGGAACTTTTACTCTAACACTTCTTTTTTATTTCATAGTCTCTGGAATAAACCCTTTTGAAAAGCTTTAGTATCCAGTTTTGGATGATCGTTGAAAGTTTCCTTGAGACAAAAAGGCACCTCACCTTCTCACCGTAGACGCCACGTATGCAGGCATCGTTGTGCAATAATGTTAGGCATTGAGTCAGTAAAAGAAAAAGAATACACGTGTTCGACAGATGTTAGTATTCTACGTCATGACATTTTATCCCTGTGATCACGCACATGGGAAGAAACAGCAATTGTTCGTCATCATTTGATACAGCCTGTTTCGCATATTCTGAAGCTGTGATTGATACCTCTCTTAGATTAATTTTAGGATTTCCAAAACTGGATACTAAAGCTTTTCAGAACGGGTTTATTCTAGAGATTATGAAATAGAAAATTATAATGAGTATCTTTGAAAAGAATATATTGTTTGCCATTAGCACACTGAATTAGACACGCGCTCTTAGCTTTTGGAAAGCAAGCTTTTTACCTTTTGTTGTAACAAGCAACATATCACATAACTTCTAGTTCTGAAAACAATAGCAATGAGCTTCAAGTATAAAACGAAGGTTATTCCAAAACGAAACGATAATATATATCCAATTAATTCTTGAGCTGCGTTTCAAGGATTTTAAACATATACTAGTTTTCAAGGATAGAAGACCTTGGAGTATGGCTTTTCTTTAATACTATAAACAATAAAATTAAAGGAAAAATTAATTCATCTTGCTCGCAGTATTCCAATAATAAAATGATGACAAAATCGCACTGTTCGTTTTAAAGCTCTTTGATAGAACGCAGAAACAGAATAATCGATACGTTTTCGTGCATTTGCAAGGTGTGGCTGATTCAACAGTTGAGTGGAAACTTTCCGGCTTTTTTTGTGTCGGTCAGATACAGCTCATGAATTTACCTAGGAAAACGTCAATTTTAATTTTTTAAAAGTCGTTTTCATGTAAAAACTTGTCAAAATATTAGAATTTTAGAAAGACAAAAATGAGTAGACTTTTAAACAACAAACAAAATTTTAACTTTTATCGTATTTCGAAATTTTCTAAACTACTTTTTTCTGGTTCACCATGAAATGTCGAATTTCAACGAACGAAAAGAAAAAATAACGAAAAAATCAGTAAAACACGAGCAGCATTCATGTTTATCTAGCATACATCAGCTTTTTTTTCCTGTCATATTCGGAATCAGAGTCAAAAACTGGGTTGATTGATCTTTCTGTCTGTCTATCAACTTTTAGGTTTTTCGAATTTTTCCACCAAAATATTAGCGTAATTTTTACTCAAACCTGCAAAGATTATTTTTATTCTGAATATTACTTTGGCAGCACCCTATACCGAAAGATAGTCACAAGATGGGATCTTTTTCCTTCCTCGGAAGAGTTTTTTACGAAAGTTTCATAGGATTTTAGGAGGATCTATCTTTAGTAGCATCTAATATTATTTTAGACTTTTAGAATTAAATTTATAATTTTATTTTCTGGCGGATGTGACTTTGTAAAGTGAGACTTGTCAGAAGAGTTTTTCATGAAAATTTTGCTAATAGCGGTTTTTAAATATTCTAAGAGTTATCTATCCACTAATTTTCTCTAAAACTGCGAATATTTTGCACTCAGTTTTCATATGTATTGCCAAATCTCATTACTTTTTTTTCATTATATATGAATAATGCCGTGATTGTATTGATCATAAAGCAGGTTTACAACATTTTTCAATTGCAAACATCGAATTCTTTTATTCGGAAACTGTAAAATTGATTTTTTTATGAATAAATGAGGTTTTCTATCAGTCCAATTTCCATTTTGTTTGTATTCTTGTTCAATGTTGCGTATCTATTTTAATAATGGAAAAAATGTGTTTTGATCACAAAATTTCTTTCTACGAAAACTTTTCCAGACAAACTAAATAAAAAATGTTTAAGGGTTAAAAACCTTTCTAAAAGGATTTTTTTTAAATATCCTTCATATCTATCTTCTTCACGATCACAAAAATAAGAATTTGCGTCTCAACTACAACGATATTTTTTTATTTCCAAAATTTTGTTCTAGGATACTCGTCTGACTCAGGAACTTTGCCACGGCTTTTAAAAAATAATTTTTATTTGAGCAAAATATGCAGGAAAAGTCTTAATAAAGCAGATAATTAATAACGAATTCGTTTTAAATAAAAGTGAATATAAATAATAAAAATGATAATAAATTTAATAATATTGATATTTTATACAGAGAAAAAATAATTTAACCATTCTAATTTTGCGTAACTACAAATTTCAACCTATAAATAGAGGAAGCAGAGCATTACACGGACGTAAAATTGTATAAGTTTTTCTTTGATCGACGAATTTCCACGGCTCCTATTAATTGAACCAAACTCAAACACGCATTCTATTTGCCAGCATGTTTGAGCTTAGTAAAAAAGGCATATCAGGAAGTTATCAAAACAAAACAGTGTCAACCGAATAATTTATCCAGAGTATTAGACACTTTAGTAAAATTTTTACAAAAAAATGATATACGTGTGAAACTCCAATTAGACACGCTTGTAGGTATTGCTTTGGCATCTGAATCCATGAAAATTCCAAAAGTGGAAGTGTTAGAAAGCAATCGTTGGAGTGATGATGCAATAATCAGGAGATGGTCATTCAGAGGTATAAGAGCAGCATATGAGAATGGTTATCAGTCTGGAATATTCGTAAAGTGGTGTAATGATATTAGATATGACCTAGAAAAAAACACTCACACTAAGGTTATGAGAGATCGAGATTTGTTTGAAACTATGACTGCATTAAAATACAGGGACTTTACCAAAATCTGTGATAAGCCGCAAAATGAATGGAACAGAGAAATGTTAATTTTCGATTTATTAGAAAGATTTGATCTATTTATTCTTTTGTCAATCAATTGTTGCCTTGTGAATTCTTTCATCGTGTCCTCAGTATTAACCCTGGGAAAATGAAGACCAGTTGTTCTGATGCACGGAATCGTAGCCACTGCTGAAGATATGGATGAATTAACGGGTTGGATCAGAGAGACATATCCAGGAATCTATGTACGAAGTATCGAAATTGGTAATGAGTCTCAGGATTCTCTTTTCATGCCAATGATTAAAGAAGTTGAACTATTTTGTCAACAAATATTTGTTGATGATAACTGGAAAGATGGATTCAATTTGCTAGGATTCTCAGAAGGAAGCTTAATAACACGAGCTGCTGTTCAGCGACGTTCATTTCCAAAGGTATACTGTGAGTGGTGCTCATGGAGGTGTATTTAGCATTCCTTTTCTGGAGCTGCTAGCATCAGAACTTTGTGAATTTGTTACTAAATATGTCTATATAGATTATGTTCAAAAACTCATTAGTTTTGCTGGTTATTGGCGCGATCACTACCAGTTAGGTGATTACTATGCTAAATCTCAATTTGCGATTGATATCAACAATGAAAGAAAGAGAAGAAATGAAACTTACCGACAAAATTTATTAAAATTAAATGCATTTGTGATGACCTATTCTGATATTGATACACCCCGACAGTCGGACTGGTTTATGTCCTATGCTCCAAATTTATTAAAAGTTCAACTTTGGAACGATTCACGCGAATTTCCAGAAGATTTAGTGGGTATGCGTACTCTGTTTAATCAGGGACGATTACACACTTATGTAAATGTCATTGCAAACATCAGGACGCTCCTCATAAGCCAAATACAGAATTTGTTTTTAAAAGTATTATGCAATATTTTAATAATACTTTTTAACTAATTCTGACTATTTTGCTTAATTTCTCAATAGTAAATATTTCTCAAAAATTCCAAAAACTACAATGAGTGTGTCACAGCTAAAGTTTCAAAAAAGGATTATGTAGGGGAGCGAGATTCTTCATAGAATTTTGTATCAAAATAGAACTTTGTTTTTGTTCGTCGCAGCGTAAAGAGAAAATCATCACTGATAACAAGGTGATGATAAAATTGTATTCTAAAGAAAACAGAGGCAGGTACATAATTTTTGCCACTAGAATAATACGTCCAGTTAATCCGAAAGAATAATAGTAAAACAGATGAAGATATTATATCATTTTTTTAAAGCTTTATTTATTGAATTATTAATTATTAATTCTATCGTTTGTTCTCCCTGAGGCCTCAAATAATGGTGCCAACCAATACAAGAACCGCAAAACATATGGCAAGCCAAGCAACAATAAACTTTTACTTTTGTGGGCTATTGAAATGCTTCGAAAGGAGCTGGAGCGGTCATTATTAACGAAATCAACGGTACGCCCATTTGCTCTATCATCAGTATGTTTAGATAGAGAAGCAGCATCTTAAACAAGTTTGATAATAAAGTGAACAAGCTAGAAAGTATTGAACCTTATACTGAGAGCGTAACATACTCTATCTAACCTTCTGTAAAAATGATATCGTAAATCAATCCTGCTGATATAACGTAATGCTTAACAGAATTAATGAGTAAAAGTCTTAATTTGAATCCGACTGAAGCATCAAAAAATGAACGTGAACTATAAAAATTTGGCTGAAACACTAACGTCATTAACTAATTGCCGGCAAGAAAAACTCCTTCTTTGATCACCCGCGAATGTTCCCTCGATAGATATGGTTCAGCTTTTGAGAAAGAAGACTCATTTTTGATCTACTCAAAATGTCTGAAGCAAAATTGCAACTGTACGACAGTAAAAGAAAGGATTCTATATCGCTACTCTCTCACTCATCGGAACTGCTGTATTGCAAATTAGTAATTTACTTTTTTATTTAATTCCGCTTTGAAAAAGTTAGAAAAGCAGATATGAACTAAATAGAAGTAAGAAACAAGTACTTTATATAACAGACACTGTGTTTCTGTCTCGTTTAAAGTAAAAAGAAAACCGTTCGCAGTGTCAGTCAGACGCGTGGCTGTCATATAAGTCTGTGTACTATATCAATTCTTTCAAATTCAAAAATGTTATAAGAGTATATATATATATATGCGTTTATGCGAAGCATGTTTCTTCGTTTGAAGAAGAATCGTCGAAAAGTATAGTAGGATAAAGTACATAGCAGAAGTAAAAGCACGTGCATAATGTCTCTCTAAGACGCATTTTTTCTCAATGCTTTTAATTTGGTTCAAAGCAAATTGAAAAAACAAAATCAAGTCTTGTGATTTCAGATAAGATTCTCATCCAAATGCTACGGCAAGAATGACAAAGAAGGAAACAGTAAACTTCTTTATACTATTACGATATTGTACGGGGTTTTTCTGTTTTAACTAAATGTATGAAACTCTACGTGTCTATTATTGCTATGGTTTGTCACTTTGTATATAACTTCTCCGTTATTCGTTGTATCGTTCTAGAGTCTGTGCACTGTTCAATAGACTTTGGTTTATTAACATTTATTATTGTTTATATTGAAAAATAATCATTGAATTCTATCATTAAAAAATGGCAAGAAATATAACAACATTCAATTTTCGTGTTGGAACACTATTTGATACACCAGTAAGTGCAACAATATTTATTTTGTTTAACAATTACCCGTCGTTCGTGGTTAGCTGCATATTCTTTCTCCTCCGTATTGTGTTCATTCATTAGCGCATATCCGCATACGCTTGAAGAGAGCGTGGAAACTTCGATGGTGCGTAAGTAATCTGGAAATTACATTCTTGTAAAGATCGTCGGCTCCAGATTATAGGTAGCCTAACCTAGTTTAGCTGAAATTCATTCAGGTTTTCAGATGAATGTTACAAGTTATAGATTGCAAAAACGACTCAACCTAAAGAGCTCTGATCGGTAGTTGCTAATAGCCTTGTTTTATATAAATGTGAATGAAGAAGCTTTTGTTTACCGCTGCAATTGTCATGTTATCTGTGGTCAACGTAACTCATATATAACTTAAATCAAAACGACAATAAATGAAGCAGATTGCTGAAAGAATGAATGAACAATAGAATGAAGAACATTTTGTACAGACGACGAAGAAGAAAAAGCAATGAAGCAAAAATAGTTTAGTGGGAGCCTAGTGAATTAACTT